TGACTCTCAGACATTGTTTTCACTCACATTCACTTTCCCGATTGGTTGCTGAAAAGGAGCAACACCTGAAGCATCAGCATAAAGGCCAAAGACATGTTGAGCAGAAACACTTTCACTTGCTACAAACAAATGTGATCATGGAGAAAATACCTCCAAACGTACCTGAGAGTGTAGTTTAGCTGAACTAACATAGCACAGCTCTGGTTGTTTGACTCTAAAATGTCTCCATGAGAAGTCCTAGTGGCCTTTTCTTTCTTTTCTCTCATTGGTGGCTCTGCTTTGTTTTGCACACTTGTGAATGTGGTATTTACTCGGCAAGCGTCTGCTGTGTTCGCCGGTACGTCCATATTTCCTCCATATTTGTTGTCACTAAACCAACTCGACCTCTGTGCGCTCGCAAGCGAATGTGTGGTTTCAGCCCACTCAGTGTTTGGCCCACTCTAAACATACTTAATAACAATTCCAATTATTTTGCCGGAGTGGAAATTGCACTTGGTATCAGAGTTTTTCTTTTCCTTTCCTCCATATCTCACAGCGCTGATTTGCTTACTTTTAGTTAGTAGAAAAAGGGGCCCTGAGAGAAGCAAATGGCAAATTACTGGTGAAGACTAAACAAGCTTTGTGGAATCAAGGGGAAGACGTGGTCATGTTCCTCTTGAAGAAAAATCACTTAAGAATACAATCTCCATTTTCCAAACACGTCGGACTCGGAGCTATCTAGTGTGGGCTTTTTACTTACTGACAGATGACCCAGAGGACCGAGCACGCTGTGAAATCTTATCCCCAGAGCTGTGTGCACTGAGATCTTCTTTTATGCTTTCTGTCTGTGTGTTTAGTGTTTCTCTTTTTTTTTTTGTGAACCAGAGATTCATTTTGCTTATGCTCCGCCATTATCTACTCCTCTTTCAGCAATACAATATCAAACACTGCTAAGGGCTTTTGTGCTGTCACTGTAATGATGTTATAGCCCACACCAGGAAGACGGATTTATAAATAATTCACAAAGTTTGCCCTTCTTTAGCTCAATATATTATTGACAGGGCCATAAAATGGATTATAGAGAGGCTTTTTTCTCCTGCTCGTCCTATCTCCCACCGCAGAGGTTTTAATGAAAGCTGTCATTTCTGCTCCACCAACAGATCTCGTCTGTACAGTACGCTTTGAATTCAATCACTGCTTTGCTATTCATATGACTGCAGAGTGTTCATTTAATGGAACGGCACCTAACACATAGCCCTGCATGTTGCTATTCATCATGGATGATTCTGACTGTCAGGAACAAGTGTGTTAGTGTGTTTATCCTGCAACGCCGCGCCTTTCTGCCGTCCATTCAAACCCTGTTTAGAACCGCATAGTGTCCATCTGGACTGACGTGGCTCGGGTGGTGAAGTGGACTGCCTACTAATTTTTTTGAGGTTAGTGGTTTGATCTCTGGATCAACTACAGCCCTAACGAGACAGACGGCAGGCTAGCACCTAGCATGGCTGCTCTTCTAGCTTCAGTGTGTGAATGGGTGAAGTGCTTTGTAGAA